CATTTAATATAAGGGCTTACATGCATATGTTTATTACGTAAAGATCCGATCGATCACATTGACAAGCCATAATATTTTTTCCGAGGATTTTCAAATGTCTAAGCCACGACAGCGAAGAGGACTTAGCGAAAGTGTAGATAATAATCTATGTATGAATTGGCATCAAGGAACCATAAGGGATGGTATGGTGTCTAATTTGATTGCGTCGAAGGTACATCCGTGTCGTAAACTTCATCTTCCCTCCAGACACCGATTTCGATGATGAATTACATGAAGTTGGATGAAACCATTGACTGTTATCATTAACATTAACATCACGGGCATCATGTACTTACTGTTTTTTTTGTAAATTGATGAGGCTTGTGTAAAAGGAAAATCGCGTGAGTAAATTAAGTAATTTGTTGAATTCTTTTTTTAAAAAAAATGAATAAAACGTGAACCACAAGAAAGATGAAAAGGAAGATTTGAGGCTTTTTTCACAAAGCGCTTAGACATCTCGGGAGATCGGATTAGTAAGGATAGTCAAGGCTTTTACAATTGATTTTTGAAAACATTAGGACTTCTAAAAGATATATAACTACCAAGAATTCTTGACTTGGTTGAATCACAAATATACAATTAGATTTCTGTGAACGGTGCACCTGGGATAAAAAGAATCTCCAGGTGCACCATAATGCATTCCTTTCTTTCTTTCTTTCTCTCTCAATCTACGTACGCACATAATGTCATTCGTTCAAAAACGGATTTCCTCTATCTGTGGTCACCGCAGATGCTAAAGTTAGCAAGGACAGTTAATTGTCAACGAACAAAAAATTTAGAGTAACTCGATTTAAATAATGTTCTCAATAAAATCGGATTTACTATCATCTATTTGGATCCACAGAGACAATAGCTCCAATCCTGTCCCTGTTAGCGTGGTTCCTACCCTGAAGCGTACACAATCCTTAATCCTTTAGTACAATCACTGGCTTCCAACATCTTTTTCCTTACCATTCTATTTATTATTTATTAATTTTTATTAATTTTTATTATTATTTTTTATTTTCTATTTTATTTTCTATTTTATTTATAATTTCTTTCTATTTCTTTTTTGGTTTGTTCTTTGCAATTTTTTCAACATTATTTCTCGTTTGAAGTTTTCCCCAGTATCCCGGCGAAGATTTAGTTTTCTAGTTTTCT